CCCATTCCATATGAGCTTTTTTAAGCTTTGTTCCAAGACGAAGCCCTTCTTGTTCTTGAAGCTGGTGTAACAGAGTTATATACTTGAAGTCTACAATACCACCATCAGGGTCCACAAATTTATTCAATACTGCCCAATTATTTCTGATTAATTTCATCATGTGACAGGCATCAAAAACTATAAATATTTTCGTTGCATCACAGGGTGCAGAAAATATGGTGGAATGTTATTCAAATCTTTGAATTTTGCACCAAGTTCACTCATCATCGTGAAGTTTGCACTTGGTCCATCAGATGTTAGTGATGTAACAATTACATCACATTCATGTACCATCTTCAGTGCTTCACGTACGATATTGGCCTTCTCTGCCCCATTCAATGATTTGGCCAGAAAAAATGCAATTGGTAACTTCCACTGTCCATTAAGGGCAACCAGCATCAAAACCAGAACTTCAGAGGCCTGATCTGTGAGGTCATCAAATTTCAAGTTGGACCCAAAATCAACATAACCCCAAGATCTTTCACCTACAAAATCAACATGCTTTTTTATGCTCATTTCATCCAGCATCAAACTGCATAGTGTGGAGTAGCCTTTGTTTTTGTTCTCTAATACTTTCTCTTTCAGAGAGTCGAAGGCAGGCTGAGAAAATCCTGGTTCACAAGAAATGTTACTCAACCAACTTCTTATGACTCTTTGGCTAGGTAATGATAAATTGAAAGTTTTTCTCACATATTCATAAGCTTTACTGGAATAGAATTGCAATGTCATTGCAAAACTTCTCAGTGTTGCATCATATTTTTGTCTTCCAACTTTTCCCCTCCTAGAATTTGTGAGCATTCTTTTCATCAATGCTAGAGACACTCCAGAAAAAGATTTCTCAAGTATAGAACATGCACCAGGACTCAACAAATCTTTTCTTTTGATATCTTGAACAACATTATTCAAATGACCAACCTTCTTCCTGAGCCTTTTGATCTTCTGTTTTTCAACTTTATGTTGATATGTTAGGAGCTTGATTCTAGAATTTTGTGTCTTCAGTTTATCACTAACGTTCTCAATTGTAGTGCTGTCATAAAAATCACATTAAATGTATTAAATATTATGAAATGTCCATGGACTTGTTTTTTATTCCTATTTTTTTTTCAAGAACTGTTGAATTGTTTTTTTCAATTAATCTAAAGAACACTAAGTAATCATAAGGAAATGTACACACCTGTATGTATGAATTTTTTTAATTAGCCTCCTATTTCTTTTAGGAGTATGCTTCAGTCCAGCACTATCAGTTGAACTGGAAAGCCTGAAAAAAAAATGCATTCACTAGTATTTTCTAAAACAATGTTACACATGGTAAGAGGCAAACACAAAACCAAACAGGAGTTAAGTATATATGGACTTCTACACTATTGTTACACATTTTTTAATAATAGGTATCAACTTATCTACCTATAGATTACTTTTTCATGATATTTCATATCCAAATGAAACATAAATACAAGCTTGAATTAAATAATCAGCTTCAATATATTGAGGTGGAAGGCAGTTATAGTCGAGGTTATAGTAGGTATTTCAGGAAGTATTTTGGTAAAAAATTATTGAATATTATAAGTTATATACATACTGTTCTTTCATGTGCTTTGGGATATGAACAACTTCTGCTTCATAATTATTACTAGGTTGTTTATTCATGGATATGGAAGGTTGTTCTTGTTCCAACATATCATGGTGTTTCCTATAAAAAATACTCCATCAGAATGTTTCATTTTGTAGTGTTTGAGTTAACAGCAGTATCATCATTTCCAAAAGTTAATTTGCATGCTATGATAAAAGAAATCTGTTTTATAACAACTAGTAGGTATGAAAACAAATCAGGGAATCTGGAGATTTTAATCAAAGTAATCACATACCTTGCAACTTTTTTTTTCGGGGGTTCAGAAGAAAGAATGTCAGTTGATTTCCTTTTGATTATGAAATGTTTGGGCACAGCTTTTGGTTTGAGCCTTACTCTGCCATGTTCACTATCAGGAAACACAACATCTGATGCATCAAAATGTTTGGAACAAAGAAGATTCCTAGAACTTATATCCTTATCAGGTATTCCAAAGGCTTCAAGCCATAGTTCCTTCCTGGAAGCAAAGCTAAAACAACAAAATAAATTAAAGCATGTTTTGGTTTAAAAATTTTCCAAGCCGGGTCTGTTTAGTAACCTAAAAAAAGGATTACTTACCGAAAATAGTAAATATTTGGGAGTTTACCACTGCTTTGGCAAGACCAAATGAAACATCTTTCAGGCATGATGATAACACTTCAAAAACGTAGAAAAAAATCTAGGGTAAAAAGGAAAAAACTGAGAAATTGTAATTAAACAACAAATAAACAATGTCATTGACAAATAATAACATTTACTAATGCATGCTAATGCGCAAACTCATCAAGGGGCTATCAGCGCCATTTTTGTTGTCCTTGTAGGAACAGAATCATAACACTGTTTTTCCCTTCTCCTCTGTGTTTAAGTTCTGTGGTCGCTATAATAGGTGATGGGCACAGTTGATGTTTGCCCGCGTCCGCGTCTCGCTTGGCGCGGTTCTCCCACTACGTTGTTTATACTAATACCTCCTTGCGCTAGACGCTAGTCACTGAGTATAGTTTGTCTATGTTTCCTACTCGGTTTCCTACTCAGAACCAATCACGAAATTCACAAACTAAACACTGTAAATAACAGAAGTAGGGTTATGTTGATCGTGTTAATGACTTTCTTCTACTTTTTGCCACACTGCCCAATGAGCACCAGCCTGGATAAAGCTTTATAGTTTTATGAAGACATTATCTTTTACCCTTCTTATATATCAATTTTATTATTTTCTAAGCTTTGTTGTCATGCCCAGGAACAAATAGTCATAAGAATGGATTTGAATATGCAATGAGTATTTCAACAGGAAGAAATCGTCTCATAAAATACCTTATCAATTGGTTTCGAGTATATTTTGCGCCATATTTACTACAAACAGATGTCGGCCATTGATAGAAATGAGAATTTCAACCGGAAAATAAAAAAGATTCATCGATACTGCCGTCGAAAATGTGGTTTTGCCACATTTTTCAAACGACTCATCCATATTCAGCAAACATTCATACAGTTTTGTCAACTTTTTTGAAAAGTTATTGAAATTCATATCCAATTCTAACTGGTAAAAATACATTATTTCTAGAGCGCTGCTTTTTTTGAAGCATATCTGGTATGTTTTCGTCAAAAAAGTCGTCATCGTTCTTATTTTACAGCCTCAATCTTCACAAAGAAGACTATTTGATACAGTAGAGAATTATTATATCATACTGCCATGTTACCTCTCTTTAATAACTATTTATTGTTTTTACTCCATTACAACATGTTCGTATTTTAATTTGTTCTGAAGAAAAAATCCAATATAACACGTTACGGACTAAACTATCTCGACAAATGCTAACTGCAACTGATAAGGTTTTCATTCTAGCCAATATGTGTTTTATTGTTGGCATAATAACTGTCGCTTTAAAGCATATAGGTTGGAACTCGTGCTGAAAGGCTTTAATGGAAACAGTTTTGATAGGTTTTATTATTGCTCTGAGGCATTCTACAATGAATTCCTTTTAGTTCTATGACAAGCTTCAAGAGAAGCTGTCACAGCTTTTATAAAGATGGGCCCTTTTATGTTTTGAGAAGGTTGTTTTATTGTTATAATGATATTATTATGAAGATGGAAGGAATATTGAGGGGATTGTTTTGAGCGAACTAGGAAACGATTATTGGACATAGCTCTTAGGAATAGTTAACTGTAGACACGTGTTTCGGGCTTTTGGCCCTCATCAGTACGGTGAAAGAACCAAAGAGTACCAAATTGCGAAACTTTTCCAACATGTAACCTATCTCGTATCTCTTCTTCTTTTTGAGATTCCAATGATGAAGTTCCAATTCCAGATAGGTATGTGAATAATATGAAAAATACGTGGTGTTTCAGAAGTTTAAGAAAAATATCTGCGAAATCATCGGTTTCTATCGAATTTTACCTGAAAATTCTAACTCTCTATATACAGGGTGTCCGCTAAAAGGAGGTCAATCCATTAACCACATATTCCTTGAACAAAAACAATATGAGTTTCTAAATACCATTTTTCATTTTAGCCCTTCATATTCGATATACAGGGTGTCAAAGTTGGAAATTAAAAACTGTTTTTTTCTAATTACTCGCGTATTTGATAAGATATCAATCTCAAAATTGGTACATTACTTCAGCACAAAGAGTTACATCGTGTGAGGAAATCATAACAGAAAATAACTGTCAAATATTCAAAATACTGGGGGCCAAGTACACACTTACTCCCATATTTTTCTTGTTCGTGCGCTAATGACTTCTTATCTATTTTTCTTCAAGTGTTCAATCATTTTTGAGTATTTTTGGATTTTTGTAAAATTCCGATAAAATTATTTGTCTTTAAGATAATTCGAAAAGTACTGGTTATTGTTTCATATGCCTCGCGGCTTACGGTAATCTCATAATGTTCACATACTCCTATTTATTTCGTCGAAATTGGAAGAGGGCGTATCTTTTTACGTACGAAAAGGTAAATATGGAAATACCGGGTGCTCAGAGCGAATGTATTAAAATAATTTTTACAATTTTTCAATTTTTTTTTCTGTAAAAAGTGTGTACTTGACCCCCAGTATTTTGAATATTTGACAGTTATTTTCTGTTTTGTCTTCCTCACACGATGTAACTCTTTGTGCTGAAGTAATGTACCAATTTTGAGATTAATATCTTATTAATTACGCGAGTAATTAGAAAAAAAAAACAGTTTTTAATTTCCAACTTTGACACCCTGTATATCGAATATGAAGGGCTAAAATGAAAAATGGTATTTAGAAACTCATATTATTTTTGTTCAAGGAATATATGGTTAATGGATTGACCTCCTTTTAGCGGACACCCTGTATATTCCCTTCAATTTATGAATTCCTTCTATTTTAGTCGTATTTTGTTACGATCAAGAAACTGGACCCCAAACTGACAGAAGACGCAGAAACCATTCTTGGCGCGTATTATCAAATGCAGAGAGGGATCGACAGTAGAAACAAAGCCAGAACTACTGTGCGTTTATTAGAGAGTTTAGTGAGGTGAGCATCAGAGATTATACCGACCTCACTTATAACATAATTTTTCTAATATTCTCATATTCCTTGATGCTATAATGGGGAGGTTTCCTGTATTGAGATTCTCATTTCTCTTTGGAGCCCTGTAAATTCTGCATTCGTAATAGATTGTTTTATTAGGATCACCAGTTCAGCGAAGCCTAGCAAGAGCAAAATTTGCGAGTCAAACAAAGTCACTTTTGATCCGAATAAAACATTCAATTTGTTCTGCAACCGGAAGAATGAACTGAAATAAATATAAGTGGAATAACCACCAATGTGACTCACTTGACAGATTATTATAATAATATGAGTAGTTGATAGAAGCAACACCTCAGACTACTTTACTTTGTTACGCACGAATTCAATACTACCTTTCCCCGGAACGTGCCATATTTTTGCAATGTAACAAATAATCCGTGTGGTAATGATATTCTACCTGCATTTACAGATCAGATCAGATCAATATAAATACAACAACAGGCCACAGAGTGACCTACACTACACTCTCTTACCACTAATCAAACCGATTTTTCAAACGCCTCGACACGTGTTTCGCTAACTATGTTAGCATCTTCAGGAGAAGATTAAAACTGATTAAAAATCGGTTTGGCCAGTGGTGAAAACAGTGTAGTGTATTATCGTGTCAAAGGTTACAGGCCTATTCGACTATTCCATTGAATCGATGTATTAATGAATTCATTTGGACCAGTCAGCCCTAATGGCAAAAGTCGCGCCAGTGCCAGGTATAGGAAAAAGAAGTGAAAAATATCAGGTTAGTGATCAAGTCAACAATAACTATAGCGATCATTTATTTCTCTCCATATTCCACTGTGTTTGGCTCGGTAATTAAATGAAGATAAACAATTTCGTTGTGTGAGACAAAAAGGTATTGCTGGCCATGATTATTCAACAACAAGTTATCCAATCATTCAGATCCCATAGTTATGAAATTCCAAATCTGCCGAAATCTGAAACAAATCAGGTATGTGTCCTAACCCAGATAACCAACCGTTACAATGTTGTTTATTCTTGATGACCTAGTACATCCTTTTCATTGAACTTCAGCTCCTAGGAACTAAAGAGGATGTACTACAGGTCATCAAGAATAAACAACATTATTGTTACGATTTATTTTTTGGGTTGAGCATACCTGATTTGTTTCCGATCTCGGCAGATTTTGCATTTCATACCCATGCTGGAGATTTAAATACACCATATTATAGTTGAGAATTTTTGTTTCGATCAGAAAAGCCTTCAAGATCCTTATACTTGCTTGATCCGTATTTCATTCGTTATTCTCGGGATGGATAACTCGACTTTTGATAATCACGGCCAGCAATATCGTTTTGTCTCACACAATATTTCACCTTTATTCGATTACCGAGCCAAACACAGTGAAGTATGGAGGGAAATTGATAATCGCTATCATCATTGTTGATATGCCCCTTAACCTTACATTTTCCACGTCTTCTTCCTATACCTGGTAGTGGCGCGGTATTTGCTACTAGGGCTGTGCAGTGACTGTGTTTGACTCGCAAATTTTTCTTTCGCTCGAATTCGCTAGACGGCTCTGATTCAAAATTCGCTTGTCAAACAAAGTGTCACTTTCTGTCCTAGTAAAACAATCTATTATCTTCTATTATTGAAATTTGTCGCTCACTCCTGAAGATATCAATTCGAAATTTGGTGTGGTCAATACTTTCTCCCAATTTCGATCAACAGGAAAAATTCGATCATATCGTGTGATACCTACATCATTGTCATCATAAAATAAAAGACTTTTAAAAAATGCAAAAATTCAATATGGCGCTGATGAGAAAAAACAAAGTTGAGTGTTGTAACTTTGACATCAAGAACGTCATGGTAAATACGATGACAGATTCAAATTCCTTGTAAAAAAGTGCCTTGAGACTATCCCAGTCGGAAACGTCTAGGTGTTTTGGATTCCGCTTGAAAAAATGAAAACGAAAATTATAAATTTTCGTCTTCTTCCAATAATTCAAAAACAAAGAATAACACATCAAATTCTCTTGCAGATGAATGGTCAGCATAAAAATGCGCAACTTTGCCCTAATTCAAGCGACCTCATATCTCTTATAATGAGTGAGATCCCTCCTCCTTCTCAATAAAGATTTCTTAGAAGGTTGAAAAAAACATCGAAGTATTTCAAGAACTCATGGTATTACCTTCGATAATTATCTGATTTTGTTATAATGTAATGTCTTCTCAATATTGAATCGTAGTTTTTAGAAGAAAATTGTGTATCATACACGGGAATATGATGGATCTTAGCCCGAGACCTAAAATATAATACTTTTTTTCCTAGTATAATAAAAACTATTTAAACCACTCAATTTCCCTAGGTTATCTCGAGGTCATGCCAGGCTGATGTTTCACGAAAAAATCGAGGTGGTGGACAGCATTTACGCCATAATATTGTCGGATATCGCGATGGATCGCGATTCCGCCATACTGAATTTGAACATCACCATGAATAGTGTGTTTCCCGAAAGGCCTATGGTCGATTACAGAACGATGTTGGAGGCCATTTTGACTAGATTGCAGTTGACGGAGATACTCGAGAGGGAACTAAAGGCGATTCCTAAGATTAATTACGGTAAAAATCCCTACTTCTCATTTTTAATATAATGAAAGTGATTGTACTTCTAATCTTTGGTCACTTAAAGTAGAGTGGTGTATAGTCCATAGTTGGAAAGCCAAAGTCATCTCCACAACATTATGTTGTGGCCCAGTTAACCAGTGTTGGTTGCAGGGAAGTTGTAGGGAATTATCATTGTTGAAGTGCGACTTCGCATTGTGAATTTAAAAAAGGTGCTCCAGTACTTATTGGCGATTACTTAATGTCCGCAACAACATACATCTCCAATGAGTTGTCAGGACATCACATTGTGGATTTATTTTAGTTACCATATACAGAGCAAACACGGAACTTCTGACTGTGGCATTAACTTGAAAGTCGATAAAACATTGATGCGATTGGATTTGAACTTCGATTGAAGCTCTATGGTAACTCTACTGTCAACATTTGGTAAAGATAGCAAATAGGATATGTGTTCAATTTCTCCCTCCAATATACTTGTACGTTTTTTTTTTTAATACGACTGTATATGGCATTGACCTTGAATTTTTACTCACGAAATTATTAGTCCTATTTTTTCTTTTATATTATCGATTTGTAAGTATATCGCAACTTCGGTGTTGGGAATCAACTACCCAGAAGTCTAAACTAGTGCGGGGTTAGGTAGAGCGGGACCTACCAGTATCCATAGTGGTTCAGAACCACTTCTAGGGCGCCGCATATGGTATTAAAAATGAAAGGAAAACCGGATTTGAAAATTGACGTGTACTGGCCTTTTTTGCTCACATTTGATTCAAGATTACCAAGCAAACGTCACGTTGTGTGTTAATATTTTGAACGAGAATATATAATGTGAAGAGAAAAGAAAATCTCACAGATTTCACACATGCTTATATATATGGACATTGTTCATTGCTTATCATCTGATATTTAGCTAATCTTCGCCTTTTCAGGACAAATCCGTGTACATTTCTCAAATAAAGTCGATTTATATCATTTATTATTACCATTATTATTATTAGTTTTATCATTATTATTATGCATGCATCTCCAGTTTATTGATATCAATGATACCTGATCATTATTATGATCAATTTCATCATTATATTCAGGTGTATATGTATACCCATAACATAACGTATCAATGAATTATTGATATTAGGTATACCTGCAGTGAAAATTAATGCAGGCGAAAAGTTAATCGATAGGTAGTTGCGACGTGTCATCAAATAGGATATCTCAGAAAGTTGGTGAGAGGTCTTCTTCAAGAAGTTGCTTGGATATAGTTAATGGAAGTTTATACAAGATACGTTATTCCAATTTCTAATAATGTCACAAATACAACATTCGAAAAATATTACCAGAGATTAGTGACATAGTAATAACAATTCACACTTCATATAAACTTCTCGATATAATATTGAATTGAATTTTCAAAGAAGTTGAGTTGGGGAACTCGCAAGGCTAACAATTTGTGGATGTTCATATCCACAAAGCGAAATCCTTAGTACATCTATGATCGGTCTTCAAGATGATCTTCGGTGGGATTTTATTTTGGTATTCCCTGCGACTTACTGTTACTTCGCAGGTTGACTGGGGGAGCTGACTTTGTGTTTTCATATAGGGATAGGAAGACATAAATGATAAATGGTTCTCAGAGGATCAAACTGTGACAATACTGAAACTATTTCAATTTTTGAGGTTAGGTGTCAGTTTTTTTGTTTAAGTATACCTTAGTTTTAGTTAATTATCTCTGCTTCTAATTTCAACGCGGGCAAATAGGGGTGTAGAAGCTAGTGAGAATAATTAACTATTATTTCCTGGATTATTCAATGAGAAGAGTCGCAATTATATCAATAAATGTCTCATATTCATTTGACCAGAGTAAAAATATTGAGAAAATTATAAATACTACCGCTTTCAACAAACATTCTTATTAAGGCACATGGTCGATTACAAAACGATGTTGAAGGCCATTTTGACAATAAAATTACACATGACGAAGATACTCGAGTGGCGATTCCTAAGATCAATTATTACAGTTCATAATGAAAATAATAAACTAAATATCTTTCACTTAAAATCTCTCTAGCAGCAGTATTATTACCAATTATTTTTCTTCACCATTCACGACGATTTTCAAAATGAATTACTTTTCTTAATAATTTTGTTTCATTCTCATCAACCTAATCTTGTTGCATTATGCATTTAGATCTTTCCACAACTATTTTCGAACACATGCAGTTTTATTATTCGGAATTGAGTGTGAAAAGTCTGAAGCCACGTTCTTCTTCAAATTTGGAAAATATAATTTATTATTTTATCAGTATAAGTAAAATGAAGTTTCATACCATGTGGCATTAAAATATTCCTCATTTCTACAATACTATCACCAATACAATGAAAAGAGGCACTTCTTTGTCATCAAGAATATTCCATGATGATAACTCGGAAACTGTGGGTTAGGCCACTTTACAACCAAAAGCGACGATTTATATCAGTCACCTTGCAAGTCCTTCAGAAAGTTGCCATCATATTTTGAAGATGATTTATTTTGAAATTTGACTTGAGCGTTAAGTTTTGCTTTGAAAAAGATGGAAAATGGGCTGCTCGTAGGGGGTAACCTGACTTCCGCTACATGTCTAAAGTTACATTTTCTCAAATCAGTAGCTGAAAATAGGCTTATTTGTTTAAATATCAAGAACGTTCACCAAGATAAGTTGTTTCAATTCCGATTTCACACATATTTTTTCATTTTTTTATATGAACGTCTCATGGCAAGTTATAGTTTTTGATATTTCATAAATTTCTACTGAATTTTCGCGTTAATAAGAAGACTGTAACTTCGACAAAACTGTTTCGTAATAGTAATAGTTCGATGATACCTTCATTGATGACTATGACCATGATAATTTCAATACTGTAAAAATCCATATAAATAAATTGCGCTCCTAGATGCTTGACGATAAATTAATTTTGCATCAAGCTTACGTAAAATTTGAAGCGGAATCATTATTTTCTGAATATAATCGATACTTACTGATTGAAAGTTAGTTGAATTATAATGCTACTGGTATGAAACCGTTTTGTCGAAGTTGTAATTTTTTTAATATCACAAAAATTTCATAGAAATTGTAAAAATATCAACGAAACTTTTTATGAGACACATGTCTGAACTCAAAATAAAAACAACTATTCCTTGTAAACATATTCGAAACTCAAATAAATAAGCCCATATTCAGCAATTAGTTTGTGAAAATATAACTTTTGACATGTAGCGAAGTCACGTGACCGATCGAGTAGTCCATTTATCATGTTTGTTGAAGCAAAACTCAAGGCCCAAGTCGGATTTCAGAAAATTCTAAAATGATTGTTGAAAGTTTTCCCTATATGATGCCAATTTCCTGAAAATCAGTGCAAAACTACAAATTTGTTGCAGGTACTGTTCAGTC